TCAATCTACAAAAATCAGTAGCCTTTCTATATACCAGTAACAAGCAATTAGGAGAAAGAATACAGGGAAATGCTCCCATTCACAATTGCTGTAAAAACATTAAAATATTGCCAGGGGTGGTGGCACACGCCTTTAATCCCAACACGTGGGAGGCAGAGGCAGGCGGATCCTCTGTGCATTCGAAGCTAGCCTAGTCACAGCATGGAGTTCCAGGCAGCTGGAGCTACAGGGAGACCCTGTTTCAAAAAGACCAATAAAATAAAATAAAATAAAATAAAAAATAAATATTTTGGAATAAATCTGACCAAAGACAGCAAAGATCTCTACTATGAAAATTTTAAATCATTAAAAAAAGAGATTGAGGAAGATACCAGGAGATGGAAGAACCTCCCATGTTCATGGATTGGAAGAATATTGTTAAAATGACCATCCTGCCGGGCGTGGTGGCACATGCCTTTAATCCCAGCACTTGGCAGGCAGAGGCAGGCGGATCTTTGTGAGTTCGAGGCCAGCCTGGTCTACATAGTGAGTTCCAGGACAACTGGGCTACAAAGGGACCCTGTCTCAAAAAGACAAAAAAAAAAAAAGACCATCCTACCAAAAGCAATATATAGATTCAATGCAATCCCAATCAAAATCCCTGTGACATACTTCATATGGAGGCACAAAAGACCCTGGATAGCCAAAGCAACCGTGAGCAAAGAACAACTCTGGGGGGATTACTATAACAGATCTCAAAGTGTACTACAGAGCCATAGTCATAAAAACAGCAAGTACTGGCACAAAAACAGACACATAGATCAATGGAACATCACTGAAGATCCAAATCCGAGTACACGATTTCGGCCACCTGATATCTGACAAAGGTGCCAAGAACACACAATGGAGGAAAGACAGCACCTTCAACAAATGGTGCTGGCAAAACTGGATCTCCACCTGTAGAAGAATGAAACTAGATCCTTACCTTTCATCTTGGACAAAAGTCAACTCCAAATGGATCAAAGACCTCAATGTGAAACTGAAAACCCTGAAACTATTAGAAGAAAATATTGGCAGTAACTTACAGGATATAGGTGTAGGAAAGGATTTTCTAAATCAGACAGAAGTTGCTCAGGAATTAAGGTTAGCAATCAGTAAGTGGGATCTCATTAAACTAAAAAGCTTCTGTACAGCAAAAGAAACAATCAAAAAAGTGAAGAGAAAACCCACAGAATGGGAAAAAAAATCTTCACCAGTACACATCTGACAGGGATTTAACATCCAGAATATATAAAGAACTCAAAAAACAAAGAATTGAGAACCAAATGACCCAATTTAAAGATGGGCTGAAGATCTAAACAGAGAGTTCTCAAAGGAAGAAATAAAGATGGCTAAGAAACATCTCAAAAAGTGTTCAACATCCTTAGTAATTACGGAAATGTAAATTAAAACCACCCTAAGGTATCACATTACCCCAATCAGACTGGCTAGGATCAAGAGAACAAATGATACCAAATGTAGGCGAGGATGTGGAGAAAGGGGCACGCTCATTCACTGCTGGTGGGATTGCAAACTCATGCAGCCTCTATGGAAAACAGTGTGGAGAACTCTTAAAAAAACTACAAATGACCAACATCTCAGTGCTAGTTGCAAAAACAATGAGTCTTTCTGTAAGGAACAATATATTCTAAAATGAAATGGAGATCTTTTTTAAAGGTTAAAAGCCCTTGTC